AGGGCCTGTGATTTAGACCCATTGAGTGCCTTTCTCCCCCTTTGTTGTGATAATATATGCCAGGATTTTGCTTCTTTCCCTAAGAGCACCATTAACATAATCATTCAAATGAAAGAGCAGTCCCCTCCAATTGACTGATTCAAGTAATAGAAAAATTGAGTTCACATCTGTGCAGATGGATTCACATAACTTGGTAAGCTGTGGACTTTTGAGAAGCAATAGCTTTTTTTCTTCTTAATTTTCATGACAATATCCATTGATTTATAATGGGTATCTTTGGTAACATGTATGATTACAACAGTAAGAGAGAGAAGTTGCAAATATTTGACAATATTAAGAGGTAAAATAACAAAAACAAGAAAAATTTACTCAAGCAAATCATCAGGACTCCAGCTGTGAAACCAAACCTTGAAGAAAGAAAGCCAACATCGAACCAGAACAATGAGCCTGATGCATATAATCTACTTTTCCTATTATTGATTTTGATGAGCCCAGGTCTTTCTCTAGTTCACAGTGCCATCATAAGCATTATCCTTTATATCATTTATTAGAATACATTTTTAAAGCATAACATCTGTTTTAATTACACTTAAATGTCTCTATGGATAGGTTTAATATTTATACTTTTTTAATCAATAGAAACAATTTGACTATATCTTTGGAAACACTTGTCGAGCTCAACAAACAGCTGAATCCATGTAGATTTCTAACAGATGGCTTTGAAAAAGTGCTTTATCTTGCAGAATTATAAGCCAGGAATTACTATGGCATTGTTATTGCAAAGCATTGTGATCCATCCAGTAAAACACACAGCTACCTACTTCGTGGGTTTCTTATATTTAGCTACATCCTCCTTCAACCTCACAGAGAAGTGATTTTGCATTGCTCATGAACCTCAAGGCTGCTAAATGATCTGTGTGCCAGTTCGTCTGTGGTGGCCCCCAGTTTTATACTATCTAGACTGACACTGATCTCAGGCAATCACCCTTTTTCTATCTCCTATGCCTCTCCATGCTTGGAAGGTGATGACAAAGGAGGACACGTTGTCATTCCACATTTTGAGCTGACCTTCCTGCTGGAAGTGCCTAAAATCATACTCCTGACAACACTTAACCCCAAGATTAATTTTGTCATCAGATAGGACAAGCCGGTGGTAGAATGTGGTCCTGTCCCGAACCTCTCCCACTCCAATTCCAGACAAATGAATCTTATGCTCCCCACTGCCCCTTCAAGACCTGTGTAGATAAATAAACCACCCAATTTTAGTCAAATGTGATTATCATGCGCTGAACATTAGGCATGAAAGGAGCAGCTTATCTTGGACCTATGACTTCATCATCAACAGGAGTTAATACATTTTGCGGTGATGGAAGTCTCTAAAGCCCCCTCTCAGGAGCATGGCATGCTATTACCTGGCTCATTAGCAGAGATCCAGCAGGCCTTCACAACCAAACCAATTAAGACCACACACAACTTCAGAACTATTTGTTCTTGATTACCGCTCTCTCATTTTTTAAACAAAGCAAAATTCTCAACGCCTGTCTCCCTAGTACCTTCTGCTGGATTTGCAATTGTGTTTAATTTGATTAAAGTCAGTAGGTAACTCGAACACTATTAACAATCCTATTAAAGGATGCTAGTTGCTACATGTTTCCCTTTCAGCTGTCATTTGATAACTTAATGGTTCTAAATCTTGTGCCTATTTGTTTATGGACTATTTCATTTGCTACCATGCCTCTCCCCTTTTTCAGTAGACTCTTCAAGGATTTAAGTTCTAAGGCACCCAGTGCAATATTACTAAGCTCTTGATAAATACTGTTGAGGATGATGATGTTTATTACGTTTTTAAATTCCCCAGAATCCTGCATTTTGAGTCGGTCAATATTTTGAATTTTATGGCTTAGATTAAGCTGTCTTAATGGAGTTCTTGGTCAGGTCTCTTCACATTCCATCTAAAGCAAAGGATAAAAATCAAATTTCCCTCTATCTGGTCCATTTTGGCAAAAAAGAAAAGAAAAAAATAGCTGGCCTGAGAGGGCCATTTTGCCAATCAATACAGATTATCCTCTCAAGCAACTGCTAACACTGAAAGAAAACATTAGGAGATGCATGCATTTCATTTCAACATTTAAATCCAGCCACCCCCATTTTGAGGACTGGTAATTGATTTGAAGGAGCACTTTGCCAATTTGATTTTTCAGCCTTTTGCAGAGCACCCTGTAGATCCTCCTGAAAACACAAGCCCTTGTTCTGTCCCTCCCCTGGGTGGAAGTGGGCAATTTGATTTCCAGCCGGCCATTCTCAAGGGGGTCATTATTCAGTCCCAAATGAATGACCAAATAGGTCATCTCAGGGCATTTGGGGGAACAATTTCAGGGGGGAAAATCTGAGTTCTCTGCCATGAAATGGAATTTCCTCAGCGCCAGGCTAGCCCTAGTCCCCAGGAAGTTTATGGATGCGTTTGTGACAGCTGACAGGCTGGGCTATAGTGAAGAAGAAGTCCACATTTTCACAGCGGGACACTGATTGAGAGGGTGAGTCAGCTTCCACAGCCTTCTGGATTCACTGGCTAGGGAAGCTGAGAATACAGAATATCTCCAGACAGTTGTCATTGTGTCTCATGGTGGCATCCACATATCCAAACTCCTGAAGATGATGCTACAGACAAAAGGTGTCAGAGTCTGTCTAAGGAGCATGGCAGCCATTTAAGAAATGTGCCTAGGTGCCCCGAGCAGAACCCACTCATTAATATGTACTTAGTGGCTTCTGAGTCTATTCCCAAATAAAAATATATCCTCTAAGTGTTACAAACAAAAATTCAAAATAATCGTAAAACAGTTTAAATATTTCATTACTTGGCTCAGAGTTCTGATGGTGAGGCAAAGTCCAGTTTCCTTCCTCTCTCACATTGTAACTGGAACATGGTCTTTATCAAAGCATAGACACCATAGTGCACTGCGATTGGGATAAAGCCTATCTGCCCACATTTTCTGATAAGGCAGGAATGTACTTTTCAACTCTCCTGAACATGGCCTTTCTCATCTGTCACCACTATATTTCTTCACCTTGCTTGCCAAGGAGGAAAAATGCTATACCCTAGGACTTTGTGTTTTTAATGGGTTGACATCTCCTCAGCTGTTGGTCCAGTGTCTTGCTCACCTAATGAGAATGCAAGACCCCGAAACGCCTATTAACTGCTCCCCTCCTCACTCACCTCAGCGCCCTCTGAAAGTAGAACTCATCAGCTGGCCTGCCAGTTACCCCACTACAGACACTGGCTTAAAAGGTATAGGACAAGATTTTAAAACTGTAAGGTTTGTCAGGGAAGAAAGGAGAGGGGAATATGTATCTGTTGCAGGGCATCAGCTTCCAATTTCTCACTGGACGAGGTAACTTTAATTCAGCCCCTACCTACCCCAGCAGCAGCATGGGTTGTGAGGCCTGCCCAGAGGTACTGGCTAGCCCCTAGAGAAAGTTCTGCAATGACTGAGCTTGTGGACAGAGTTCAGCCAGACTTGACCCTGAGAAGTCGTGGATAGGGCTAGAAACAGGTCTATTTTAATTTGTTTCTCAAATAAGATCGTTGTCTTAGGTTTGAAACTGCTGATACTCTAATGGCTTTTGCCTTGAGAAGGGCTCCTGTGAAGCCCTTTTTGGGGGAAGCACCAAAAATCTGCCAGCAGGTTATATTAGTTCTCCTTCCTCTCACCGATCAAAAAGGAAAGAACCATTGGAAGTTCTAAAAAACTGAAATAAGATCAGATTGGTTTATTGCTTCTGCCTGCATATAGACAAGAAGAAGGGCAAGTTGGAGTGCTGGGGTGGGTGATGGATGAGGCGGATTATGGAAAGGAGAAAGATACTCAAATATGCTCTGAGTAATGGAAGGAGAGGGAGAGGGGGAGGCACCCACTGGCTAAAATGAAATATGCATATTCAGAAGGGCAGCCCTCACCAAGTGGTAGTGATGGTCACCCTGCCAGGGTTCCCCACTTATCCTTTCCTGTACTCCCAGCCTAGTGTGGGGGAGAGGGAAGCTGAGCTAGAGGTGTTTTCTCTAATGCCCAACCAATTTAAACATATTAAGTTTAGAGTATGGTTCTGCCCATGCGTGAGGTTTTTCTCTATGATGATATCCTGTTCTTGGACTCTGATTTGGAAAGAAAACAGATCACTTCACTTCACTATTGCATACTCAAGTGAAGATTCAGCACATTTCATTGAGGTAACCCTCAGCTCAGCTCAGCCCCCACCTTGCCCAGCTACTGGATTTGTAAATCAGAGGTCAGGATAATGGTAGAGTCCCAAGTTAGCAAAAGCCACAGCCAATAAGTTTTCTTAGATTTTTCCAGTCTCAGAATTTGCTCTTGTGTATAGATTCTGATTTTCAACGCTGATATATGGAGCCATCTTGGACAGGTCTGCAGAGATTCCAGGGAAAGTCACCCAGTTGGATCTTTAGGTGTTAGTTTGCACTTCCAAATCTTCTTCCATTCTGGAGTGTACACTTTTACAAAGCTTATCAGAAAGCTGGTCTAAAAGAACACATGCTTTAAAGAGCACTAAAGAGCATGACGTAAAAAGGAGGCCTTCAAACCTCAACAGCAACATTTTCCAACACAGGCAAAGGATTTCTCTTTCTTTCAAAAGACGTTATTTTAGCCAACTCTCAACGGTAATAGATAATGACAATGTGGGAGAAATGCAACTCACAAACAAACCGAAATCTCATTGGAGGCAAGAATTTCACCCTGTTCTGTTACCTGATCTTTTCCCACCTGCCGTTATGGATTTATCTAAATTTCATCTCTTGGTCCTTCCCTTGACCTCTTTTCTGGCAAACGAACTAATTAATAAATGGTCAAAAGTCTGAAGAAAGAGAAGAGGCCAAAATAAGCCCAAATTTGGATAACCTACGCCTGGAATAATGGCAAGTTGGCCCTGTAATAACTTCCAGATGATGAATCATGACATTTTTTTCAGACACCAGTGAACTGATGTCATTCTATTTGCCTCCCATTTCTTCCATCCAGAATCACTGATCTCCGCTGGGGCTGGTAAAAACAGCTGGTTGAGGTCTCTAGTCTTTGGCCATTCTTAGGGATGGTCATTTTATTCCTAAGTGTAACCCCTTCTGGTGTGACCCACGTGTTTTCTGCCAAATCCCCACAAAGAAGGCCAGGGGAAACTGTCTGGGTGGGACTTCTGATGGGGGACAGAAGAACCTTGGAATCTGTCACTGTGGATGAAGGGGGAGGGTGGTCCATAATGGGGAAAGGGGGACTGAATAAGATTAGGCTCTGAGGTCTTCCCGGTCTTGACCTGTGGAAAGGCTTAGAACCCCCTGATGGTCGCTCTATTTTTGAAGAAAGAAGGTTGTCTCCAGATGGCTCTGTCTCTGATGTGCGTTTTCTGCATTGCACTGTTGCATCCTGGGTGGAGAGCAGGTTAGCCAAGACTGGTTCTGGAGGAAGGGTGGGTCCCTCACACATGTGGGATGTAGTGGTATCCATTGGCAAGGATGCAGTGGTTCCTGTATCTTGCTTTGATTTCTCTTCTTTTGGGCTTTCTGAGGAAGAGACAGAATCATCTTTGGCAGATTTCTGATTGGTCTCACCAGTTGAGCTGGGTTCCTCTTGGCCCCTTTCCAGAGGCTGAGCCCCACTGTCACCTGAGCTCTGAGAGGGCAGGGGCTGTGGGATCTGTGTATACTGAATCTTGGGTGGGATGACTGGGACTGCCCTGGCCTGGCACATTTTGACCATGAAGGAGGTTCTCACAGCTGACACACTCACAGGAGCCGAGTTACGGCGGCCTGTCAGGGCCTGAGCAACAATGTCCAAGTCCTGAGGGTCCTGGGAGTAAATACTCCATGGGTCTACTTTACAGTGAGATGATGACATCCATGTGACTTTCCTGTCTGCTGGATCAGAGAGCTGCATTCCAGGTGAACCAAATGAGGCCACATTCTCAAACCGGAAGAGGTCAGTGATGGGAATGGCAGAGTCCAAATTGAGGGAAGAAGGCCTGTGTTTCCCTTTGGGGGGTCCACAGTCAGTGCCTCTCAGCTGTAACTTTGGGGGATGCTCTCCAGGCAAGGTACTGTCCTGCACACTAGGTGAACTTTCCTTGCTATTGTCTGGCCCAGGAACACTACCTTGCTCAATCTGAGGGTTGTTGTGCCCTTGGTGTGCCCCCAGTTCCTTTCCCTCTGCCAGGCTGACAGGGCTGATTTCTGCTGGTTTGGGCTGCAAACCACTTGGTCCCTTTTGGCTGGGAACAGCCTCTGTCCCTTTTGGGCCAGAGAACTCTCTGAAGGACCTTAGGGTTTTCTCATCCCGTTCAGTAATCTCTCTCCTGGATGCCAGGGATTGCAGAGGGTCGGAATTCCTCTCTGCCTCAAGGTTAGCACAGCTGCTGGAGGAGGGAGTCTCAAGAGTCCACTGGCTCTTGACAGAGGTGGTTTTGCTATCCAGAGAATGGCTCTGGCGAAGGCTGGGCCTGTGGGGAAGCCTCTTCTCCAATCGGTGGCCCTGGGCGCCCTGCACCTGGGCCTCTTGCACATCTTTCAGGGTGGGAGAGTGAAGGGGACTCGTTACCCACTGGGGCTCCTCCCAGGGTTCCACCATCTCCAGGCCATGCTGGGCAATGTCTGTCACAGTTTCGTCTTCATCACAGTCTGAGGGCTCCTGCACCGAATGGGCTACATCCCCCTCTCCTTGTGGGGAGATCTCAACCTCTCTTGTTGGGCTTCGAAGACCAGAGCCTTTTCCCTCAGGGGCAGCATTCTCTGAATTTTGATGTTCGCTTTCCCCTAGAGAGACCTCCTCCCCCTGACAAAGTCTGGGGGTCCCAGGGCTGCCTTTGGACTTCAGCTGGTCTATATATGGATTTGTCTGCAAATTCCTAGACGAGTCTTCTCTCTCAGGGCTGCCCTTTGATAGCTGATCTCGAGGCGCCTCTTCCAGAGGAGTTGGAGGGGGCGCGGCAGGCGGGAGCAGAGGAGACAGATTCCCTGGGCCTCCCTGGTCCACCCTTGCTTGTGGAGAAGCCGCCTCAAACGGTGCGATTTCCAGAGGAGCCAGGCTGGTGGGATCTGGGCGCTGGCCCTTCTCTGGCTCAGATGGGTGGAGGCTGTTCATAGTCTCTGGCTTTTCTCTATTGGCTGCCGTGGAAGTCCCCTGTGTGCTCTGATTGGTTGGATCCCTAGTCCGCTCCTCCACAGGGGTGGAGACAGCAGTTGGGCCACAGGACAAGCTCCCAGGAGGCTCTGGGGAAGCGAGAGGCCCTGGACTGGACTCCAGGATTGGCTGAACTGGGCAGATCTTTGGAGCAGGTGGTGGCAGTGAGAGCTCCTCCTCAGATTCAATGATTTTCAGCTCCTGTTGAATCTCGGGCCAGATCAGGGTGTTGGCCAGATCATCTTCATCCTGAAAAACACCAAGAAACGGATTATTTTAGAGCCAAGGACTCTCGGCACCGACAACTGCAACTGTTTCTCAGGGAGAGTAAAGGGATTGGCGAGGTGCCAGGCTGCACTATCCCAGCAAGTAAAGGACACTGCATTAATAACCATGGATGTTTACTCAGTGCTTATGATGTGCGGTAACACATTTTAACTGCATTTTCTTGTTTAATTGTCCCAACAACTCTAAGAGGTAAACACTACTGTAACTACTCCCATTGTAGAGGTGAGGAGACCTATGTTCAAACAGATTAAACAATTTACCGAAATCACAGAGCAGCAGCCTGGGACTAAAATCCAGCTGTGTCTACACCAGAACAGAAACACTTAATCCCTGTGCACTGTTGACTTATAAAACAAACCAACCCCTGGTCTCATTTAACCTCAGGTTTACCAGATGGCACACAAGAAACAGATTCTCCCAGTGGAATGTAAATGTTAAGTCTTGCCCTGACATCTGCGTTCCAAATAAATAAATACAGATTTTATTTTATTACCAAAGAAATATGTATTTCACATGGAAAAAAATTTTTTAACACATATTAAAATAAAGGAGAATACAAAAACAGCAGAATCTTATATTCCTACTACCCACAGATAACCACTGTTGATCTGAAGGGGTGCCTTCTCCTCCATCTTGTTTGCTGCCCTTGTCTCCCCTCAAGTCTAGTTTCTCTTTGTCTGACTCCTCCCTTACCCTACACAAAGCCCCAAACTGTAGACAGGAAAGGGATGAAGGGAGGCCTGGTCGGGGCCTGGGAAACAAATTTCAGTGGCCTTCAGTTCTTCTCTCAAGGTCTAATTCTGTCCCAGGGAGAAGCAGTTCTAGAAGGCATATCCATCCTGTGGGGGTTCAGGCCTTTATGAGAAACCTGACCTCATGCCAACCTGACATCACTTCTCATCCGGCTCTGATCATGTGTTTCATGTTACAATTAATTTGATGCTTATCTTATCTTTCCCAATGAATGGACTATGAGCTCTTGGAGGTCAAGAATTGTGTCCATTCGTCTTTGATTCCTCAAGGCCAGAGTCTGGTATACTGTGAGTAGTTGCTCAATAAGAGGTTTTCTTTTGAGTTATTTCTATTTGAGTTATTTCCTTCAGAGAATTCTCCAGAAATAGGATTACTTGGTCAAAAGGCAGGGATATTTTTAGGATCTGATTCTACTGTATTGCATTCATTTGTATCTATTTCTATTTCACCTTCAGGGCAGGGGCAGCCTCTCTTTACTCTTCTCAGCACCTCCATTTATTGATCTCTTACTAAGAAATCAATAAATTTAGATAAATAAATGAGCATGTAAACTCCCCTCCACCCCTCTCTACCATCCCAGTAAGTGGACCATGGTGCATCTTTCTGCTCAGATCAGAAATCTATGAGGTGTCTTGATTCTTCCTTCTTCCTCACTCTTACCCAATCCCTCACCAAGTCCTGTTCATTTTAGCGTCTTTCTTTATGTGATAATTAAAATTATTAAAATTGTGTGATAGTTAAAATTATTAAAATAAAAATATTATTTTAGACGTTGCTATTTTATTTTATTTTATTTTATTTTATTTTATTTTATTCTAGTTTATTTTAAGTAGGCTCCATGCCCAATGCGGAGCATGAACTCATGACACTGAGATTAAGAGTTGCAGGCCTTACTGACTGAGCCAGCCAGGAACCCTCCCCCCCCAAATATGGAAGCTTCATGAACTTGCATATCATCCTTCACAGAGACCATGCTAATCGTCTCTGTACCACTCCAATTTTAGTATGTTTGCTGCTGAAGTGAGTGCCACTCTAGCTTCTAAATAACTCTTGAAGCCTTCCATTTCTATCCCTGTTGCCCCCAACCTTGTCTAAGCCCCCATCTTTTCTCACCTGGTCTGTCACATACTAGCCTTCTAACTGGCATCCCTGCCTCCTCTCCGGCCTCGTCCAAGCCATTCTCCTCACAAAATAGAGGGACCTTTAAAGTATAAAATTCTGCACAGATCAGATTTCCCACTGCTCCTTAATCTCCAAATCCCTTCCAAGCAGCCCTGTCTGACTGGCCCCTGCTTCCCTCTGGGCCTCTTTCTCTGGCCCAAATTCCTGTTCTCTGGTCTTGTTCCTGTTTCTTGAATGTTTCATGCTCTTTCCCACCTGAGATTCATGGCACATCTTACTCTTTCTGCCTAGAAAGCTCTCCCTTACTATTCTGTACCCTGCCCCTTTAGTCTAGCTAAGTTCTCAGTCTAAATGTCTATTTTTCAGAGAAGTCTTCCCTGACCATTGTGACTCCCCTCCTCCCTCTGACTAGGTTAGGTCCTCCTGTTATACACTCTCACAGCATGCTGTAATTCCACATCATCCTAGAAAGCATGCGTTTAATGACCTTTCACCCACTAAGCTGTCAGCTCGAAGAAGGCAGGGACTGCGACTGTCTTGCACACTGCAGTCATCTCCATGCTCAGAGGAGTGCCTGGCCCAAAGTAGGTGTTTACATACACTTTATTTATTTATTGGTTTGTTTAAAATTTGTTTTCACGTTTGTTTATTTTTGAGAGAGAGAGACAGAGTGTGAGCAGAGGGGCAGAGAGAGAGGGAGACACAGAATCTGAAGCAGGCTCCAGGCTCCATGCTGTTAACCAAGAGCCAGACACGGGGCTCAAACTCACAACCTTGAGGTCATGACCTGAGCAGTCGGCTTAACCGACTGAGCCACCCAGGCACCCCTATTATTGTTTTTCTTTAATGTTTATTTTTGAGAGAGAGAGGGAGAGAGAGGGGAGCGAACACACACAAGCTAGTGGGGGAGGGGCAGAGAGAGAGGGAGACTGAGGATCCAAAAGGGTCTGCGCTGACAGTGGAGAGCACGATGTGGGTCTCGAACTCACGAGCTAAGCCGAGAGATCATGACCTGAGCTGAAGTTGGACACTTAACCGATTAAGCCACCCAGGCGCCCCTTAAATACATTTTTGAACTGAGGAATGGACTGATGCCTTTACCTGTTCCCCTGAATCCAGCCTGGTTCCCCTTCCAGAACTAATTTTATCTGCTTCTGAAAGCAGTGCTATTCCCAGAATTCAATCCCTGTAAGAATGTCCATATCCTTCTCCTTCTACAGTGGCAAACACATCCATCAGGAACCTTTTCTCAGCCCTCTTGAGGCCACTATAGCACTCCTGCACTGCCCTAACTCCCAGCACATCGTCCTTTTGTGCATGTCCTGGAAACCAAATCCCCGGAAACAAGTTAAAAGGCAAAGAACTTCCTTTCTCCTTTGACATACACGTCCAGGTCACAGAGCTGCCTCCTCAGTGCAGGACTCCTCCCTGGATGCCCTGGAAAACCTCCTCACACCTTCATTTTATAAAAGGACATCCCATAAAACCTTGGAAAAATTTCACTTCTAAAAAGTACATGAGGTGTAATAAGCCCTGGCATCATGTTCTAACTTCTCCAGAAGCCATGGGGGAAAGGAGCGAATCCTGGAACTCTTTCAGAAGACTTTACAAACGTGCACAGGCAACCGTCCATCCAGGATGTCTGGAAGGAAAGCTGGACCCCATAATGGTCATCATATTTGGGACTGATTTTGTGCCGCTTCTGGGATCGAATGTCATTATATTCCAAGGACGTGTCACTGGTTTACGGTGACCTCAGATCAGAAATATTTAGAGTTGAGCCTGTCCTAGGGAATCTGAGCTGGATGGTTCCTTCCCATCATCACAGGCCTTCTGAAAAGTCCACTGAAAAAGACTCCCAGACCTGATTAGAAGACTGTCTCCTAAAGTCCCTTTGGCAGAAACTGGTTCTAAAAAAATAAAAACAAACTGCTTTCAGCTAGTCCGAGAACCCTTGGGATAAAGAGGACTCTTACTGGCCGGATCAGGCAGTGAGTCCACCTTACCATCTCGTGGAGAAACACGGCTTCGGCTCTGGCCCGGGGGCTCTCCTGCAGAGTGCTGGGCTTCCCCTGGTCAGCCTCACGACCCTCCTCCACCACCTTCTCTGGATCTAGCCTCTTCTCTAATTCACTTGGATGTTGAGAACCCAGGGAGATTTCTGGAGCCTTCTTTTCCTCCAGTTGGGAGCCTGGCTCCAGGGAGAGGCCTTTGCTGCATTCCTCTGTCCTCACTGCTTCCGGTCCTGGCTTGGCATCCTCGAGAGCCGCCTTCTTAGGTACAGAAGCTGCAATGAGGATGAGAGTTACCTGTTGAAGACTTCATTTGAAAAGAGGCTGTTCCCAGCACAGTCACCGTCCTGGGCTAGTCCTCCTTCCCAAGTATGGAGAAAATTCTCCCAGCCTGCTGCCCCTCACATTCTTTACCCTTTCCTTCTAGCCATGTCCTGCCTTCAGTTCCCAAAGTCACAGACTGTCAGAGATGGGAGGGGCCTTGAAGATCATCTAGTCCAGGGGCTCGTGACTAGGAACCATTTGCTCTTCCCCTCCCCAGGAGACATTTGGCAGTGTCTGTGGACAGTTCTGGTTGCCACAAGTAGGTGGGGAGGAGGTGGCTACTGGCATCTCGTGAGTAGAAGCCAAGGATACTAAGTATCCTACAAAGCATGAAACAGCCCCACCCCCAACAAAGAATTGCCCAGCCCACAATGTCAACAATGCCAAGGTTGAGAAACCCTGTTCTAATCTAAGCTTTCACTTCACAGATAAATAAATTCGGATCCTGACAAGTCAAGCAGTTGCCCGGGGCATAGAAATCTATTATTTACACAAAGCTACAAAGATGTATTATGATTATGATTGACAGCTTCCTGTGTGACCCTTCCCAGGGGTTTTCCGCACATCAATCTGGATATATCTAAAATGAAATGGTTAAGCTCTGGTCTTTTTTTTTTTTTTTTAATTTTTTTTTTTTAACGTTTATTTATCTTTGAGACACAGAGAGACAGAGCATGAATGGGGGAGGGTCAGAGAGAGAGGGAGACACAGAATCCGAAACAGACTCCAGGCTCTGAGCAGTCAGCACAGAGCCCGACGCAGGGCTCGAACCCACGGACTGCGAGATCACGACCTGAGCCGAAGTCGGACGCTTAACCGACTGAGCCACCCAGGCGCCCCTAAGCCCTGGTCTTAAACAGACCAGAGGGAGTGGAGAGGGAGGCAGACCCCAAGTTTGACCTCTGCTACTTGCATGAAGAAGGTCCTATCTCATTGTATAAGGCTGTTTTCACAGTGCAGGATAAAGACTAAATACCCAGGACAGTAACCAATCACACAAAAGCCTTTGGAAACACTTTCTCTTCAAAGGCTTCACTTCCTCTTCTAACCCTCACCCTGCTCCATCCACACCAACCCACCACCCGGAGCATTCCCCAAACAAGGCATCACTTGATGCACCTGAGCTTCCGCTCATCTCGTGCCCCATGTCCTGAAGGGAATGGGAGGAGAAAAGGACGAATTTACTGAAGATCTTCTGTGAGCCAGACTGTGAATAAGCATTTTATGAACATTCTTCCATTGAGACTTCACCCCAGCCCTTGAGATACCAATCACCCCTGGCTCAGAGATATCAACCACTGTCCACTGTCACACTGCCAAAAAGTGCTGAAGATAGGATGCGAATTGGCCCAGTTGAAGTCCAAAACCTACACACTTCCCACAATATTCAGCTGCCTCTCAGCCCAGAATATCCTCCCCATCTTTTCTGGGTGGAGAAAGCCTAACCATTTAGGTTAGGTTAGAAGGCCCAGCCCAAATGTCACCTCTTCTGGGAAGCCTTCCTGGAATTCTCCTGAGTGGACTGCCTCTTCCTGATGCCCTTGAAATCCTTCCTGAACACATCTTTCATTACGTTTCAGGGACCTAAGCCCTCCCTCATTCAAAAAGCCCAAGGAGGGTCTCCTGCTACTTCTACAAGCTGACCTGTGCGGCATTTCGGTACAGTTTAATTTCTCTCCCTAGTTCGTGAGCCTGCTGGGTCAAGGGAACATGTTTTAACAATTTTTGTAACTCCACAGTCCATTATAAACATGTGAAGGAGCATGGTGGAGTGTTTTAAAACCTGGATTAAAATCCTGGTTTTTCCGTTTCCATGCTATAGCTCATTTGGCAAGTTAACTGATTCCTCTCTAAGCAAGTGGGGATAATAGTAACTACCTCTACCTCACAGAGTTGTTGTGAGGAGAATGAAGATAATGCATGTAGAACACTTAGGACAGTGCCTGATACCATAACAGTTGTTCAAAAAAGGTTAGCTAATATTAGTAATGAAAATATTCTTTTTAAAGATGTTTATTTATTTATTTTGAGAGAGAGAGAGAGAGAGAGAGCAAGTGGGGAAGAGGCAGAGAGAGGGGGAGAAAGAGAATCCCAAGCAGGTTCTGTGCTGCCAACTCAGAGCCTGATGTGGGGCTCAATCCCATGACCCTGGGATCATAACCCGAGCTGAAATCAAGAGTTGGACAATCAACCTACTGAGCTATCCAGGCACCTCAATAATAAAAACATTCTTAATCCACAAGGAGCATTGGTTGGTTTGTCTGTCAGTCATCCTCTCCTTTGAGGTTCTCCCTACTTCCATTTTATGTGGCTCACAGTTGGCTGTTCATCATAGAACCCCTTCCTAACTCCAAACGTGGTTCAGAGACTCACCCTTAGCCAATTATAGGACCCTAATTGCTTGGCAACCATAACTGGTCCACGGTTGAGCATGTGACCCAAGCAGGACCAATCAGAGTCTTCCCCACATTTGACATATGGAAATTGGGAGCAAGATGTTCTTTCTCATCGCTAGGATTGCTAGCCATGTTCTCTGCAGATATGAGGTAGAAATGAGGGATGAGAAGAATTGAATCCCTAATTCTAGCTTTTGAGCTAGAATTCCATTCTTTGAGCTTCTCCCCCTACCTTCTCACTATGTGAGTGAATAAAATAATAGGCATTATTTACTGAGTATTTACTATGTATTAGACACTGTTCTGACAGCCTTACATGTATTAACTAACTTAATATTCATAGCAAATGTATGAAGAAGATAGGATTATGAACATCATTCCCTTTTTACAGATCAAGAAGTTGAGGCATACAGCTGAGCTGCTAAAGACCATACAGTGAAATGGCTGAGACTGGACTTGCACTTGGGCAATCTGGCTCCACAGCCCATGGTCTTAACCACTTCACCATATCGTCTTGCAAATTCTGTTCAAGCAAGATTAAGACTAGCTTTTTACCTCTTGCAATGAAAAGAAACCCTTTCTCCCCTGCTTTACCTGTAGAAGTCTCAGCGCCCAGTGGCTTGTCGTCTTCAGGCCAACCTCCACTCTCTGAGCCCTGGAAAGAAAACTCTTCCAGGCTGGAAAGTGACTGGAGCTCTTTTGGGGGTGTTCTGCACGGGGTGCTGTTAGTGCTGATGACAGCCGACACACGGAGCGGCACGGACACGGCGAAGGGCTCAGAGATGTTCAGGGCCTTGCGCTGGTGACGGGGTGAGGGCTCCATCTGGAAGAGACTGCTGGTGAAGACAGATTTGCTAGGGTTGTCGTTTGATGTGTAGAACATACCCAGCATCTTCGGGGCTGTTTGCTCGCTCTCAGGATCCTCGATGGGCCGGAACACCTTCAGCTGCTCAGGTGGGGGCCGGGCCTGAGCACTCTCGAGTTGGCTTCGGTCACTGCTCACGTCAAAGCCCCCCTCTGCCCCTGCCGGCATCCCCTCCTGGCCCCACTCTCCCTCCTGCTTGCTGAGGTCACAGGAGCTGCCAGGGCTGGTCGAATGCAATTTTGCCGCTGGAATGAAAAATCCACCAGTGGTGACTGTTCGATTAAAATTTCCTTTGGTTTCTTTCCCTGGTGAAAAAGCAAACAGACACATGGTCAGCAGCTGGGGCAGACATACGACTACACAGCCTTCCAGTAAGGGAAGGTATACAACACCTGAATATTGGAAAGGCATCGTGTTCTAGTAAGGGCCTAGCCCTCCTAATAAAGACAGGTGGATACATTTGGTTGACAAGAGAGTAAGCTTCCTCTCATGTGCACAGAATGTTGGCACGATGCCCTGACAGGACATTTGCTGTCATCAGATGCATCTGTTTTAAACTTTGCAGGTAGAACAGTTTCTCCAAGACGGCCACTGCTAAGGTTGCTAAACAGAACAGTCATCCACCAAGCAGTAAATGTAGATCTTGAAAAAGAAAAAAGACAGATGGGAGATGGCAGAATGATGTTTTCTCAAAAGGAAGGAGAAGACAAAAAGGGCAAACCAACAGAATTTTGTTTTATTTTAAAACTCGAAAACGTATTGTTTTAAGCCTCCTCTGGCAGATGGACCCAAACAGGGGTTTGATTTCCCAGCAAGGAGACAAATGCTGTTGTTCTCAGCTAGACCTTTCTCCCTTTTCCCAGGCTTCCTCCTGCTGATTCAGGGGATGAGAAACTAGAAATGTAAATTAATGAAAAGTTAGAAAGCCCAGTTGTGAGGAGCAAGTTCCCAACCGACTTAAAAGTGAAAGTAAAGAAGAGAAAAATCTGTATGGGAAATAAACCGCAAAATAACAAGTGAGTTGTCTGGGATCGGGAAAATGATTCCCAGCAGGCTAAGGGCTGTGCTGGACATCTTATGTAACGTGAGGTTTGAATGTTTTGTAGGGGAAGTGTAATGACCTCCTTTAACACATGAGGAAAGCGAGACTCAGAGGGGCAGATACCTGCCCAATGCTCACCCAAATGAGGACCTACATTTTGAAATATTAAATTCTGTGGCGCAGGGCAAGAACTACCTCAAAAGTTTTCCAAACCAAAGCAAACGGATGACTAGAAAGGTGAGACAATGCTAAAAGGATCGCGTCAGCTTAAAAAGAGTTCACTGTCGGGGTGCCTGGGTGGCTCAGTCAGTTAAGCATCTGACTTTGGCTCAGGTCATAATCTCCCAGTTTGTGGGTTCAAGCCCCACTCTGGGCTCTGTGCTGACAGCTCAGAGCCTGGAGACTGCTTCAGATTCTGTGTCTCCCCTCTTTCTCTCTCTCTGCTCTTCCCCTGCTTGTCCTCTATCTCTCTCAAAAATAAACATAAAAAAAAAGTTCACTATTTTACACATTTACAGTTATTTTTAAAAGGTTGTTCTAAAGACTTTCTGCATTGTTTCATTTATCAAAGAGCAAAATGTTTTGTATTAAAGGAATTGGAAAGTCATGGGATAAACGGGGGAAGCCCTGTGCCTCACAACTTGTAGCAGGGGTTGTTGGCTGCTTAAGAAAAAAAAACAAAACAGGAGCGATAGGTGCAGGGAGGTCAGCCCCTTAAGACCAATGTGGTGAGATGCCACTTTGGTGGGGTGTCACCTTGCATGCAACCCTCCACACATCTACTCCACCAAAGGATGACCAGCTACGTGCCAGGCTGGTGCCCATCACTGTTTACTGATAAGTGAATGAATGAATCTACCAACTCAAAATCATGACCTGACAGCCTATGGGAGCACATAAATTCAAGACACATAAGTACATAGGAACTAAACCATGAGGTAAAAACCAGTGTTCGGCTCTTCTTTATGCCCAAGGGGGAAGACTCGTCTGTCTTGATTCTCAGGAGTTGCCCTTCTACCTGGTTGAGATTTGAGTGTAAAATGGCTGCCATCTCCAGCTATGGTTAGAGGAAGGCTGGAGGAACAGGATGGCCCTTTAGGCCAAGACCTGTAGTGTAATGGCAGGGATTAATGCAGCGGCTGTGTGAACCCCTTGGGTTCAGGGTTCAGGGCAGATTTGGGACTAGGGGATGTGCATGATTGCGATGAGATGAGCAGGCAGGTAGCTCATGAAGGCAAGTCTGGTGTGGGAGCTCCTGTCTCCCAGTAGTAATCCCCAGTTCCAAAGGTAGTTGTGAGATCTCACCTTCCACAGGCACTGAGCACAATGAATCCATGCTTTTAGCTGGTCGGATAGTAGCCTTTTCCACTAAAGACAAAAGAAAAAATATCCCTGATGAATGCATATTGAGGGGAAACATTCAGAACAATAGGTCAGGCTGTACATACACGAGAGAACTTTCTTCAGGAAAGTTTTTCCAAGTACTTATAATTCTCCCCTTTAGAAAACATTCCTCATTCCACCCTAGATGCTCCTACTTTCATGATTGGACTGAGCTTATAAAAACAGGGCATTCATAGATCAACATTTTATTAACATTTTACAAGCACAGGTAAATTACAATTTTGTCAAATAGCTGTTAGCAAATGAGGAGCCTTGAACCCAATTTTATTATACCAAGATTCATCCATGGCATAGAATCCATGGGGCTCCTGGCCACCCCTTCTATCTAGCAGGTGGGAGAGCAGGATTCTTGGCTGCAGCCACACCTGATAGCACCCAGGAATTGGGTACAGCAAGTGAGAGGGCCCAAGGGACTGAAGTCCTGTTTCTCCCCAATGCAGGTCTGCTCCTGCCCTCTGCAGACTGGTTGCTTCTCCAAATGATCTCACCCACCGACCTCACCCTGGAGCAGACCCAGACCAAACCAACCTTTTCTGAGCACTTACTATGTGCCTGGTGTCCTCTGTGCATCTTTGTAAGCCACCTAGGCAGATTTGGGGAAGAGTGTAGCTTAAAGAAGTAAACACTTATTCCAGGGACAGGATTAGGCCCTTCAAAATGTCACCTCAGGGAGCTGAATTGGCTGAAAGATAGCTCCTCCCAGCAGGCTTTGTAGGAGGGGAAAGAGGGCATTCTGGGAGCTGAGTGGGAGCCCCAGGACTTGTGGCTGTAAGGTAACTCTGGGTTCAGACAGATCTGGCTTTGAATCCCAACTCTGCCACTTTGGGCCATGTGAACTCAGATATGTGGCTGACCTTTTCTCTAAACTTCAGTTTGCTCACATGTTAAATGAGGAAAAATAGAGTTGTCATGAGAAATGCATGAGCCGTGCATTTAAATAATCAGGTTGTACTAACCCAGAACACAGTCAATGCTCGACAAACAATAACCCTTGTTGCTGTTGTTCTTCAGGATAAACCAGGGCTCAGCAGTAGGAAAGACTCGGGAGATGGTCTGGAAGAAGCACTCAGTGTTGGCCCCAACTCAGACTGAGCTGTTTCAGCCCTCTTTTAAAGTTCATCCATTTTCCTCCTTGCCCCAAACCCTGCTGCCTCTGAGAGGCTCTGAATTAGCCCCTTGGCCTCCCTGCTCGGGGCTTCTCTCTGCCTGGGGCCCGGAGAGAGAGGACAGAGCCATCTTCACTCAAACCCTTGGAAACAGCAAGACTGCCTTCAACCTCCTTACTTCTACTAGTAGGGCTAGGTCTCTTGTCCTTTCAAGATCTGCTATTTTCACAAGTTTACAAACTGACTTACTACCGTAAGACTGCCTGGCCAGTGTCCCTTCCTTTGAGAAAAGCTTTTGCCTTTGTTTTCCAGAGGTTGCATTTCTGGACTTCTTCTCGCTTCCATGCGATAGCCTTTAGAGCCAGTGACCAGATGACACTAAGTGTCATGGAGGATGGACAACAGTTGTCTCTGCATAGCCACCAGTGTTCACTTTTTCATGTTGGACTCTCTTTCTGATGATGCAGCTCCTTGTGGCCTTGGTGGCCACAGCAGCTGATTTTGGGAACAGTCCTCAAGGATTCCTTGGCTCCATTTCTGGATAGTAACTAAGCACTCAGGACTCCTTGGCCTGTGTCTATATTTAGATTATAATATGGATATTAGATATATCTAGATTATCTAATATAGATATCTAGGTATCTAGATATATCTAATATATTTAGATTATATTTTTCTGTCTCGGACCTTGTCTGGGCCTCATGGAGGTACATCTGCCAGTTTTCTGGCAGCTTTGGGGTCCTCGAGTCTCCTCTTTTAGATGATCCCTATGGCTTTGGGATTTCCCTGCTCAAAGGCATTCACTTTGGAGAGTTCCTTGGACTCTCCCTGTTGGATAACACAAATTCCAGTACATAAGTGACTGGGAGACCCCAGTGTGATGCATCTTCATTTCGTCAATACCCCATTTTTTCTTATCCTTCATTTCTTATTTCTGTTCAACTTTCTAAATATAGGTTAACATCCCTTCATCTACCCCCCTCCAAAAAAATCCCCAATGCTGTACATGGTGAATCAATTTTTAAAAGTCCCTTAGTTGATGGAATTTATAAAATATTTTTTAAAATCTTTTTAAAATCATATTTAAATATGTGGGTGGCTCAGTCGGCTGAGCATCTGACTCTTGATTTCGGCTCAGGTCATGATCTCACGATTTCTGAATTCAAGCCCTGTGTTGGGCTCTGTGCTGACAGTGCAGAGTCTACTTGGGATTCTCTGTCTCCCTCTCTCTCTGCCCCACGCCTCCCCAGTCATGCACTTTCTGTCTCTCTCTATCTCTCTCTGTCTCAAAAATAAATAAACATTTTTAAAAGAAATTTTAAAAATAATTTAAGCATATTAATCCACTGATGGACTTTTTTCACATGCATATTTCAACAAATAGTGAGTCTATGAGTCACTTAACAGAGACCACTCTGGTGGATATGACCATAAGCTGCCCCCACCCCCAGTCTTTAGTTGTGAGGGTTCCAGTGGTCACTGAGGCAATAGTCAAAGTCAGAGAGCCACTTGTATTGGCACTGTTGGCTCTTTAATTTCACCTCTGCATCCCATCAAAATTCAGCCATTCTAGTGATCTATCCCTGATTTGTTTGTTCATGTGGTCTTAGACCAGTAGCTTTCAAGCCTGGTTGCATTTCAAAATCACCCGAGGGACTTTCTAAAAATGACCAGTACTCTGGTTTCCCAACAGATCTCTTGAGGCAAAGCTGCCATGGGTGTGAACCTCTGAGGACAGCCAGGCTTAGACCCCCTGGCCAGGGACACCCTGTGCATTCCGAGCGTTGACCAACCTTTGATCCAGCACCTCGAGTTCCTTCCTTTTGAAAACCACAGGGTAGAAATCTTCCCAAGTCAAGGTCAAGGCAAATCATTCATTTCACTTTTGCTCATTTGTTTTGCTCTATTGTTTTTGACCTTTTGCTCCTTGGTAAACTTCTTTCATTACATCATTGATTCTGTAACTGAAATTCTCTCTTTGATGTGCTTAAGCAAATCTCTTTATTATTAGATCAGGAGTTTCTTGCCAAAACTCCCCTCAAATTCTCCTTAGAGAATCTTAATTTCTGATTTGTATCTGATCCACGATACCTGTGGCAATCTGCCCTCTTCACCTGAGATATCTTTCCATTTGGAGAAAGACATGTTTCCCCATATAGTGAATGTTGTAGGTGCCTACCCAGAACCAATTTCCCTTCCTCCTTCTCACAGAGCTCTTGTACTTTTTGGGTGCATCTGACTGTAATCCCATTCCTCATGCCAGTGATTGGTTTAGGAAGCCATGGCTAAGCCGATCAGCAGAGGGCACTCCCTTGGCCATAGGGATTGATCCATATGACTCAGGTGAAGGCAACTGAGATGGGGTTGGGGTGTTATGATGGGGGATTGCTGGAAAAGAAGGGTCCCTGCTTTTAGGAGCAAGCCACCAGAAGTGATGTCTTTTCTCCTTCTGGACATAGTGACAGTCAAAGGTAAAGCCTACAAGTACTATAGCCACTTTGTTGCAGCAAAGAAGCCAGTCTGGGGATGAAGCTGACCTACTTGGGAGGGCACAGCTGAGGAAAACATAAGGGAGTGGAGACAGAGCCACTAAACCACTCTGAAGCGTTCCCTACGTCTGGGTGTCCAATTACAGAACCCAGGAGTTCCCTCATTGAGTTGGCCAATTGAGTTGGATGTGCAATTGTTTCCAGCCTAAATCATTCTAACTGCTGTCTATCCCCTGTGACATCCCTTGTTACTCCAGGAGGCAAATGTGAAGATTTCTAACATCTGTGCTTGGCATACAGTTATCACTGGGCTCAAGGAAAGTCCTTAAAAGTATTTCTTCTCATTTTTCCTATAAGCATTAATTCCTCCCCCCCAAATCTTTATTATTAAAAACTTCAAACATTCACAAAATTTGGAGATCTCTAAACCTACCACCCAGGTTGACATTTGCCATATATTTGCTTTCTCTATATTGCCATGTATTTCTATGTCTGTATCTACCTAGTCACTTACATTTCGCTGAATCATATGAAAATGAGTTTCAGTATTTTGACATTTCATCTTTAAATACTTTAACTTTAGCATATGCCTCCTAAGAACCATTAATCTGAAACCATTAATATGAAAATTTACAATTCCTTAACATCACCTAATAATTTATCTGTCCCCCAAATTATCTTATGTAGTCCTTTTTTTCAAAGGATCCAATCGAGGTTTGCTCATTACATTTGTACATTTAGTTTTTACAATTTGTTTTCATAACTACTTCCCTCATTTTTTAAAAAAAATCAGACTTTCAATCTATCACACTAAAGGTCATTGTGGCAGATTTCTTTGGACTTCCCTTTCTGACACAGTATTCAGCTGGATTGGTTACATTCCCCATTGCACAGTGATTCCCTCATTTCTTTATTTTTTTAAGTTTATTTAGTTATTTATTTATTTAGTGGGGGGGGGGAAACACGAGTGGGGGGAGGGGCAGAGAAATGGAGAGACAGAATCCCAGCAGAATCGGAGCCATCAGTGCAGATCCTACATAGGGCTCAAACTCACAAACTGTGAGATCATGACCTAAGTCGAGATCAACAATTGGATGCTTGGATGCCTAACCTACTGAGCCACCCAGGCACCCCTGATTCCCTCAGTTCTTTCCTATATCAATTCCTATTCATTATTCAGATATAATTCCCACAAGGCAACACTGTCATTTAAAATTTATAACCCTGGCATGAGTCAGAGGGGAGAAGGGACAGATCTTCCTTATAGTACATTTCAATTAATGAATGTAGACAGAGTGATGGAAACAGAAAATGACCATTTGGCAAACACCACAGTAATAACTGTTGTAATAACAGTAATTTTGCAGGCAAGAATCATTGATGGATGCTAAAATTCAGGAATGAAAGTATGATGAGAAACAGGATATTTGCAGTCTCAAAATATCTCCTACAACCTACTTGTTCATTGGAAAGGAAAAAATAGTAACAAAATTTTGTAGATGGTACTTTAACCAAGCGATCAAAGTTAACATCACTAGCAATAAGATATTGACATCATATGCCTCCTGACATGACCCGCTGAGACAGGCACAACATTCACAACCTCAACTGAATCATGAGGAAATATCAGACAAATCCAGCCTGAGGTGGTATATTCTACAAAATAAATGGCTGTACTCTTCCAAAGTGTCATGGTCAGAAACACTGAGAAAAATGTCCTAGACTGGAGGCAATTAAGGAGGCATGGCAACTGAATGCAACATGCATTCCTGGACCCCAAAAAGGACATTGGTTGGACGGCTGGTCAATTATGAATAAGGTCTGTAAATTATTTAGTAGGATTATATTGATGTTAATTTTCTGGCTTGGCTCATTATATTATGGTTAAGATCAGAAGCAGCTGCATAAAGGGTACAAGGGTTCTCTGTCTACTATTTCTGCAACTTTTTCGTAAATCTAAAATTATTTTTTTTTTAAAAAGACTGCCTAGTTAATTTTTATGTTTCAGGTCTAGTGAGGTTGACATGGCCAAACCAAAGACCTAAGAAGCAGAGCTAGGAAAAAATTATATATACACATACATATCTATGATGAATGCTTATTTATAAAATAGACAACATATATTGATCTCTGTCCCTAGTTTAGGAGCACAGGGCTGCTAAAATCCTTGTAACTCCCTGGGTCATAGGAGTGTCTTTTGTTTTAATGAGGGCACTCTGGATGGGTTCCTGGATGGTTCCTGGATGAGGGCTGGTCACCAGAAAGACCAAGCCATGATTAGAAGCTTGGAACTTTCAGCCCTGCCCCTCATTCTCTTGAGAGGAGAGAAGGGATGAAAATGGAATTAATGATCAAATATGCCTATGTGATGAAGCTTCCATAAATTCCCAATTATACGGGGTTCAGAGAGTCTCCAGATGGGCAAACACATCCACGCCAGTGGGGTGATGCACCCCAACTCTACGGAGGAGACAGACACTCCTGTGCTCAGGACTCTCCCAGACCTCACCTTATGTATCTCTTCAACTGGCTGTTCATCTGTATCCTTTATCATACCCTTTAATAAACTGGTCAATGTAATGAAGTGTGTCCCCGAGTTCTGCGAGCCACTCTAGCAAATGAATCAAATCAAGGAGGGGGTCTTTCGAACCTCCAATCTATAGCAGTAAGTCAGAAGCACAGCAGACAATCTAGGCTTGTAACTGGCACCTGAAGTGTGAGAATGTGCGGGGTGGGAGGCAGTCTTGTGGGACTGAGCCCTTAACCTGTGGGATCTGATGCTGTCTCTGGATAGACAGTGTCAGAATTGAGTTACATTGTAGGACACGCAGTTGGTGTAGCAGAAAATTGCTTGTTGTGGGGAAAAACCTCCACACATTTGGTGACCAGAAGTGTCAGAAGTGAAGTGCTGTGTGGGTAGTGAGGAGACACACGGGAGGGTAACAGTAGGGTAGAACTGGGGTTTTCCCTATGCAGGAGATAAGACTCAACTGAGTTTTTCTAAGACAATATATATCTCATAAAACATAACTGCTATTGATTCTTACCTGAGAGCCTCTGCCCTCTCACAAATACACTCCCATTTCTACTCAGCTTTGATTTGGAGTCTGATCCAGAACGTCCCAGGTTAAATATTGATTTCCATTTCTTTGATTTACTGGAGAGCTTTCTTCTAAAAGAGCCAAGCCATAAGACAGCATTAGTTTGGTAACTGGTCATTTCAGTGGGACCTTTAAATTGAGAAGGAATAGCCCAGTCATGTTCTGACATTTCAGGAAATCCCTCTCTAAAATCCAGTCTGAGCCTGAGTCTGGCCCTGTCTGGGGATGCCCTGGATGACCAAGCTAGGCTTTCATGTTTCCCAGGGGAAGGGGCAAAGGTGTGCTATAAAGGCAGGGGTGAGGGCAGACAGAGGCAGGGATGCATCGGAGACTCAGAGGTCACAAGCAAGCACACAGTTCTGGGGATTCTGGTAAGCAGTGTAGTCCTGGGTTTTCAAAGACACCTATTTTTTTGTAGGAGTAAACATTAAAGACCACAGAGCTCAGTGCTGCACTTGGGCCATACTGCTAGGTCATCCACAGGCGAGGAAAGAGCTGGTGAAGACTTCTGCAGACTGTAAAGGGGGTGAAGGAGAAAGTGACTTGGAAAAGAGACTGGCCTGTGAGAGTTAGAGGCTGCCAGGTGTAGTCAAAGATCACTGCAGAGAAAGGCAGAGGGGTAATTAGTGTGTCTCTGGCTTCACTCATGTCCCTGATGCCTCTCACCAGGCTGCCTCAAGAAGGCATGAAAAGGAGAGGTCTAGACTGGGTCTGGAGAGCCTGATGCCACCAGAGGTCACCACAGAGACTTTGCCCTGCTCTGGTTTGCCCAACTATCAGATTTCAAAAAGTTTCCTGATGAAACCCTACAAATTGTGGGTTCCACAAAGGACCCTTTCTCCATAAGGTTCTCATAGAACATCCAGATGTCAAGCGCAATATGTTTTTACAATCAATCAGAGATAGATCTGCAGCACTTGGTGGTTTCTTTTGGATCTGGCCTAGTTTTTTTTTCAAGCACTTGGTCTAGGATGTATTTTATAGGGTCACATACCTTGGGGTATGGTGTGCCCCTTATGTAGTTAAGGCACAGAGGAAATGCACTTGAGGGTCCTTCTGAGGTACTCTTCTTCCTGATCCCTGGGTGGAAGTCTTATTTTCCAGGGATTTAGGGAGCAAATACTGGGGCTTGGTCTAGACAGAGCATGATCAATGTATTTTAGGAAATGGAAGGGTTTCTTGCCAGGTGAGTTCTAGGTGTACCATTCCCATAACACGCATTGTGAGAAGTGTCCCTACTGCTGTGTAATATGGTAGCACTTTCTCCCTCCCCAATGGGAAGCAGCCCCACCATCTTGGGGATGACACTGACAAGAAGTCTGAGGTGTCTATTTTCACGCCTCTTTCTACTGACCAAACATTGAGGATGACCATCTCCAGTGAAAGTTTGCCTTTCAGCCCCTCCACCTATTGTCTGCCTAAAGTTTAGAACTCCTGCTTCATTCACTGCCTCCTATTTATAGTGGGGTGTGAAGGGGAGAGGGGAGGAGGGATGTGTGGAGACCAGGGTTACAACAGAGGAAGCAATGAAGAAAGAAAATATCCTATGAATAAAAATGATATTCAGTTTGGTTTGGGAGGGCAAGGAGGGTTCTGACAGGCATGGAAGAAGGAACAGAAGCCAGGAATATGTGTCCCCAGGTGCTGCATGCCCAGAGCTCTCAGTCTAGAGTGGCATTATTTGTTAGCTTATCCTCCATTCATCTCTATAGTTTTTATAATGTCACCTGGAGGTGAAGGATGGGGGCAGGGGGTCAAGTTTTTTATTTTAGCAAACTTCCTTCTGAAAATATCAAGACTGTTTTATCTAAACTGAGGAGTAAGGGATTTCAGCCATGATCCTTGACCCCTATGAGCCCCATCCCTGTCATGGTACTTAAGGAAGGCTGGTGGGAGAGCAGGTCTTGATAACTTAGGGACAGTGAGTGAAGACATCAATCACTGGTGAAAAAGAGCTGTGGAGACAGCTCCCTTTTCTTCCTCTGGAATGTTCCATTACATCCCAACCCAGCCAGTACCCCCAACCCATGCTGCCACTGTGGCTCTATATAACTATATAACTTCCTCCTCTATCCCCCTCCACCCAAACGTTTCCCAGAATTTAAGAGAATGCTGCTTACTTGTTGTCTGGTAACTCAAGAACTGTGTGGAAGAGGGTGCCCATGGAAGGAGGGACAATTTCAGGCAAGCTATTCTCCCTCCTTTCCTTCCGAGCAGGATGGTTAGTAGCCAGGCTCCGAGCCTGAGCTTCCTCCAGGCTCACCAGCTTCATGGGCAAGGAGAGGGCTGGCAAGGTCAGACTCTTCATGATTGGCGGGTTTTCTATACACAAAAGACAAGACCTCAGTTATGGAAGGAGTCCTGTGCATCAGGTCTAGCCAGATTTCCCATCCACAGCACTTCCATTCCTGACTTCCTGGCAGGGGGCTTCTGGAGTTTTGGGGGATTTAGGGCAGAGGCTGTACATAGGAAACTAACAACCTCATGGCCAGACAGCGAGCTGGCACACATGGCTTCAGGAGGTAACCTATATTTCTTGCACTTTTCAGAGAGGGACCATTCATTCATTCATTCATGCGACAAACATTTATTGAACACTTCCTGCCTAGTACTCTGGCCAGGTGGGAATTTTATGTCCAACCATAGAGGTAGCCTTGCTCAGCTAGAACAAGGCAGGAGACTGTTCCTGCTCTCTGCAGCTGTACAACACACATTCCAAGGCAATTTAACGTGGGAGCCTATACTTTCCTTAGATCACTAAGGTTTATTTATATCTCTGCAGTTAAAAGGTATTTTATAACCTATATTATTCCCTAAAAGATAGGTGGGTTTTTACTCACTACTCAGTGGTCTTAAGTGCATGCAAGCTAATCTCTTCTGTGTTTTGTTTGTTTTTGGTTTGGTGTTTTTGGTTTTTTGTTTTTTGTTTTTTAAGAAATGGAAGTCATAATGAGAGATCGATGGTGTCCAGAGTCATCTCTTTTCCCCAAGTCATTGGTTCTCAACTTGGGGCAATTTTGCCATTCCCACCCCACTTCCCCAGGGACATTTGGCAATGTCTAAAAACATTTTTGGTGGCCATAAGCATGTGTAGGAGTACTACTGGCATCTAGTGGGTAGAGGCCAAGGATGGCATCCTACAATGCACAACACAGCCCCACAACAAGAACTCTCCAGCACCAGTGCATGGTGATGCACTGACGGCAGGCCCTTATCTGTGGGCCTCTCATAGTGTACACATGCCAGAGGAGTGTGCAACCCCAAACCATTGCCCAGCCTCCTCACTGGTGGCCTGGCCTGTGAGCACTGAAGGGTGCTGTCTAATGTGGGAACAAAAAAAAAAAAAAAAAAAAGGAAAACAAACAAACATAAAACAAACAAAGAACTATCCAGCACCAATTGTCAACAGTGCCAAGATTGAGAAATCTTGGTCTAAGTAAAAAAAGCAGAGATCTAAGTTGGCCTCTATTTAGCCTTTGGCAACCCTGCCAGTTTTCTATAACTTCAGAAGGTGTGAAGAGACTCAAAGATAACTTGCACCAACTGAAACTAAGCAATCTTTTTTGGTATAAGACTCACATAATTTTCAGAAAGCACCTTGACAGCACTCTTTCTCATTGCAGAACATGACCCTCTCTGAGTGGAGGGAAATAAAACCACTGATAAAGGGCCTTGTAGAAAACAGAGTGTGTGACACTGGGGTTTTCCCAGGCAGGAGAGCATGGCAGTCATTCAGCGGGGCTTCAAGTAAGTAAATCCATGAGCCCAAAAACTTTTCAGTAAAGTTTCCAACTTTAACCATTTTCCAACTTAATCCAAAGGAGGTTAAAATATTTGAATTTTATATGCTCTCAATATTTGCTTTCTAGATTATTTCTGATTTGTTAATTACTTATTTACTTAAAAAATGAAATCACTCCAGGAGCAACTGGATCAATGGGAAGAACCCACACTGCAGGGCCAGGAGACCTCAGTTGGTTTAGTAACCACTCTCTCTCTAGTTTCAGGCTGCAGTGTCCTAAGGCCTACTCATTGTCTCTGCTTAGATGTTTAACAGGCATCTCTAACCTCACATTTCATAACAAAGCTTGTAATTTCTGCTCTTCACCTCTAAACTGGTACCCCTACTATCATTGCCAAGTCAGTAAGTGGCACCATGGACCATCCAGCTGTGTAAGCTGAAACCTGGAGTAGTTATTTTTCATTCATTCCTTTCTTTGATGCACCACCTCCTCCTACATCGAGTCAACAAGCAAGTCTGAAAACTCTACCTTCAAAATGTACTTGGAATCCAGCCACCTGCCTTCTTTCCACTGCTAACGTGCTAGTCCAGGCCACCATGATTGCCCATCTGATTTCCGCCCTTGCTCTTTAACTGGTCTCTCTGCTTCCATACTTGCTGCTTTTCAGTCTCTCCTTCACACAGCAATCGGAATGCTCAGACCCTGCACTCCCTACTCAAAATCCTCAAATGCTTTCCCATGGCACTGAGAACAAACGAAACTCCTAGCTTGACCTACAAGGACCTTCCATCTGCTTTCCCTGTCCTCTTTGCCCACTGACCCAGTGGGCTACAAAAATATGCAGTAAAAATTTTTAAATGTATACTCCCATTATAAACTATACATTTATACTACTGTATTAGTGTTATATATAACAGAAAATATACAAAATCATAGAAATTACAAAGTATACAATATAAAGAAATGAGAAAGAAATTCTAATGGTTTCTTCCAACACCTGTAGTTCAGTATCTTGGTCTTTGGTGTCCCCTTGGGTGGGGCACCCCACTTTGGAGACCACATTGGCTCTAGTCACACTGACCTACTTTTCTGTACTACTATGAGCCCCTTTCCACTTCAGAGCTTTTAGACTCTCTGTCCTTTGTGTTTGGAACATTCATCCCACAGATCCTCACATGACTGGTTCCTTTTGTCATAAGGTCTCAGTTCAAAGATCACCTCCTCAGAGATCATAAGTCCCCAATAATTTATTGGTTGATTCAAAAGGATGGATGAATGAATGAATGGATGAATGCATATTCTCACCTACCTTCACAAAGGATTTATATAGCTTACAATAATGGGAGATTTAAAGTAAAGATGAAGGAAACATTAGCCACTCCTAAGAATATAACCAAGAGAATTGGAAACATGTGTTCGCACAAAAACTTGTACATAAATGTTCACAGCACCATTATTCATAATAACCAAAAAGTGGAAACAACCCAAATGGCCTCAACTGATGAATGGATAAGCAAAATGTATATGCATACAGTGGGATATATATTATTCATCCTTAAAAAGGGATGAAATACTGATACATGCAAAAATATGGAAGAACCTTAGAGAACATATGCTAAGTGAAAGAAGTCAGTTACAAAAGACCACATGTTGTATGACTCCATTTATATAAAATGTCCAGAAGAGGCAAATCCCTAGAAATAGAAAGTAGATTCATGGTCGCCAGGGTCTCGGGGGAGAGCAAAATGTGCAGAGACTGCTTAATGTGTATGGGGTTTCTTTTTGGAGTGATGCAATGTTCTGAAATTAGATGGTGGTGACAGTTGCACAATTCTGTGAATACACTAAAAACCACTGAATTGTATACTTTAAAGTGATTAAAATTGTGAATTTTATGCTATGTGAATTTTATCTCAATAAAAAAAATTTTTTTAAGAAAGGTTTATAAACCACATAGAGGACAGGGTGGGGATGGGAACAATTATACCAGGAATTAAAATTTGATGTTAACTGCCATTGATTATTCTGATGGTTATACTTGTTTTCTCCAAATACATTAGCTGAACTAGAAAAGAATGCTTTAATCAGCTAACACAAATATTTTGCAGATAGGGTTCTCATATACCACGGATTCTCCAAGTGTGGCCCTGACCAGCAGCAGCACCATCACCTGAAAACTCACTAGAAGTACAAATTCTCAGCAGCATTCCAGACATACTGAATCAGAAATTCTGGGCATGAGGTCCAGTAAACTGTGCTTTAACAGCCCTCCCTCCAGGTGATCGTGATGTATGCTAATGTTGGAAAACTCACACAAGTGGTGGTCACAGGTTTCTTGATCTAGATTTTTTAGTTTTACAAATTTGGCTCACAGGAGTTCAAGCAACATAAACCAATGCATCCCTAGGGTTCATTATGTCATTATGAGAGCTATAGGAAATCATATTCTTGCATCTTATCACACCCAGCCTAAAACAGCTGTCTTTTTCACCAACGTAGCTACAGAGATCGATGCTAACTACTCTGCCTACGCATGCCCACAAGTACACACTCAGTTTTGTAAGCCTAGTGTCTGGTGCAGGGAAGACTAAAGCAAGCACTCAATAAATGCTTATGAAGGGAACACATTCTGAATATACACACGAGTATGAACATGCTGCCTCTTAACTCAAAAACTCCAAGATGAAGGCAGAATATCTTCCAAAATACCACATTGAAATTAAATTTGAAATATAATAGTTAAAAGGGAGGAATGTTGCCTGTAGATAATAACCCAAAGGGTTTAATAGCTAACTAAAACCAATGGGAGATCCAGTGCTGCATGCTGCATTCATGGGATAGGCCAGGTATGCAGCTGACCAGAAACACGCTACAGCCACCCACAGACACATCTTGCTGCACGCAGACAAATGTACATGTATGCACAAACCCCAGACACTGACACACAGAGCAGTCACACACGTACACAGCCAACACTCGGAGCTAGAAGCCTAACTTATTATTGGGTCCCATGACTAAGGCAAGGAAGAAGGATGGTCTGGTGGCGAGTCTGCCAGACGGAGCCGTTACCATTGTTCTCCAAAGACCCAGGAGTGCCGTTGTTAAAGATTTGATCCACATGATTCAGTATGAACTCAATCACCACCTGCTGGACCCGAACTGCAAGGAAAGCAGCATCTCCATTGCAACCAGTGGCTTCGATCTCTTTGGACCTAAACAATGGACGAAAGACACTCAGTGAGTGAGTCTGCCCCATAAGTGAAAGCAAGTAAGGGGAGCCAGTGGGTCTTTTGTACAAACCCCGTCTCCTAAATGTATACGCTTCGTTCATCTCTAGATTATTTTAACTATGTAAGACCTATCAAAAGGACTCTACAAAGTCTGTAAGGCCTAACACAATGAACAAACTTATTTAAAAAAAATTTTTTTAATGTTTATTTATTTTTGAGAGAGAGAGAGAGAGAGAGAGAGCAGGGGAGGGGTAGAGAGAGAGAGGGAGTCACAGAATCTCAAGCAGGCTCCAGGCTCTGAGCTGTCAACACAGAGCCCGACACAGGGCTCCAACCCATGAACCATGAGATCATGACGTGAGCCGAAGTTGGGATGCTTTACTGACTGAGCCACCCAGGCACTCCATGAACAAATTTAAAAACAGTTACCATGTATACCATGTATCATACATTGCTAGACTATAAACACTGTATTACTGAATATGCAGGAATATATTTTTTTCTTCACAGGATCTCCTTCCACCCCCATCCAATTGTGCTATGGGGCAGGTCATCGTTTATGAAGCCACATGAAGCTGTGACCCCACCAAAACCAACAAAAGCCAATAAGCCCCAAAGACAAGAAAGGCCTTTTCAAGAAATTATAATATACAGACCCTTAACTTTAGCCACATCCTGATTATAGCCAGAAAACTCCTTTGGAACCCAGAGTTTCCAGGTTAGCAAGCAAAGAGCTCAGGCTGTGAAAATCACCTTTTTTTTTTTTTTTTTTAAGTGTATTTATTTATTTTGAGAGAGACAGTGAGAGCAGGGGAGGGGCAGAGAGAGAGGGAGAGAGAGAGAATCCCAAGCAGGCCCTGCACTGTCAGTGCGGAGCCCTAGGAGGGGCTCGAGCCCACAAACTGTGAGATCATGGCCTAAGCCGAAAACCAAGAGTTGTATGCTTAACTGACTGAGCCACCCAGGCACCCCTAAAAACATCTTTCATTTACATGTGTTACACATGACCACTTAGCTACAGGTTTGTCTTCCAGTAGCTTCAGTGTTGAAGAATACGGTCTTCGTTTCAGTTGTTGGGCTGCCTTGAGCCCACTGGGGTGATGAGAAGGTGAGGTTGTGGTGGCTACCTGAGCAGGTTTGGTGCCCACACCAGGGCCAGGTTCCTGGCATGCATGTTGGTCTTGCTGCTGAAGGAGGCAATGTGGGCCAGGTGTCGAATCAGGTATTCCAAGGTCCTGTAATGGGTCATTAAAAAAATTTTTTTTTTTTAACGTTTATTTATTTTTTTGGGACAGAGAGAGACAGAGCATGAACGGGGGAGGGGCAGAGAGAGAGGGAGACACAGAATCAGAAACAGGCTCCAGGCTCTGAGCCATCAGCCCAGAGCCCGACGCGGGGCTCGAACTCACGGAGCGCGAGATCGTGACCTGGCTGAAGTCGGCCGCTTAACCGACTGCGCCACCCAGGCGCCCCTAAAAAATTTTTTTTAACAAAATAAGAAACTTCAGTGCCTGTGCAAAGCCTGACGACTGGGTTTGGATTTAAGAGAGTCTAAATATTTCTATCTCATGAATTTTGGAGGAATATCAGGAAGGTAACAAGATTGATGGAAATAATTTTCTTCGTCCTAGGCATGCTGGCCGAAGGTGGAGAAGGGGAATGGTTTGGTCAGAAGTCGGCTCAGGCCCTTGGAGAGCCAGAGACAGACCCGGGAATCACAGCACCCAGAGCCCGAGAGATACCAGTGGCTCCCTTGGCTTCCTTCTACGCAGGTCGCCATTGCTGCCACATAATCTTGAAACCGGCTCTTATCTCTGCCCCTTCTGTAATTACTCCAGCTACAGGTAACTTGGTTCTTGTTAGAGAGCTGACCTCGTGGGTGAATAACATCTGTTATTATAGGAAGTTCTTTCTTATCCCACATCAAAATCTGTCCCCTTGTAAAAGAGGCTCAGAGAACATTGGGAAAGGTGGTTAGATGAGGGGCTAAACAGTGAAAACAAAATGGAAGGGTGAGCTGATGTGAGGGGCGGTACTGATGAGCAAATAGAGAGATCAGTCCGCCAAAAGTTCAAAAGGTACAGCCAAACCCTGTTTAAAAATCATCCTGGTTTCCATAGATTTGTGTATACTATGAATCTGGGTAAGAACCTAGGCTATCACAGCCAGTGAGGCTGGTTTGTATGGCCAGAACGACTTCCTGTGAGACTCTGAGGGCTGCCCCTTCCTGTCAGTGTCCCTGGTCAGGCACCAACTCACTCTGATAAAGCTGACCTGCTCATCCACCTCAAAATGCCGCAGGAAAGTCACTGTCCGCTGAACTTTTTCCCTTTTATGATGCCAGCCTGCTTCTTTGGTATTACACCACTTTGAGAGGCTGTGGGCTTCTTTTACCAAGGATTCTTACCTGTAATGGGATGGGGGAAGCTCCTGGATAACATTTTGGATTCGGGCCAGTTGGCCTTCTTCCGGGCAATGAGACACGGCCTCCTGTGAAGAAGAACATGAAGTAGGCGAGTGAGTGCTTGAGAGGGTGGCCACCCACCTGCGTCTGCTGGCCTTCTTTAGGTTTCTGGCACTCCAGCCTCCCAACTAGGCCTAGAGATCGTCTTTCCAAGAAGCATGCTTTCCTAGTAAAAACAAACAACTAAAATCTGACAGTTCGTGATGCGAAGTATCTAACAGTGAGTGCGAGTGGGGACATGTGGATTGTTTAGGTCTCTGTGTGTCCTCAGAATGTTGTTGGGTATCTGGTAAAGATGCAGAATGCTGGGTGTGTGGTGTGGCAGAGAGAGTGACAGAGATTCACACTGGGAGAGGGAAAGAGAGACGTGGAGATGACAGGTGAGACTTGATGGTCTTGCCTGGACTTACTCTCTGGTTGTTTCCTGTGTGGGTATTTTGTTCTCCTGAGACAGGGAAACTGAAGGGACCTCATGAAAAAAGCTGAGTTTTTTTTTCTTTGTTCCTATTCCTGCTTCTGTTCTTGCTAGGACCTACACCCCCGCCTTACACATACCTTATAGAACAGGTAATGTATGTTCTCCTTGCAAAGGTCAAGGAGTTAATGATCTCTTTGGAGTCTTCCAGCATAAGAGATGACATCTAAAGAGTGACCAGGTGAGGTCATCACGACCATTTTCCAAGACCACTGACTCATCAAGGCCCCTGGCTCTAGGGCATAAGTGACTTACGGAGAACACCTAAACACCTATCTTTGTTCCTGGATTACTGAGAAGACACACGCACTAGACAACCATCCTCAACAAAAACCCAGGCCCCAAGCAAAGATGACATTCACTCTTCTTTCCTTTCTGAGTCTCTGTGATACTCTCTCCATATCTACACTCTCTATGTCTTCGATAAACTCTACTCTCACTTCCTTTCATTGTGAGTTTGATTTCCACCCTGTGAGAAGCCGAGGACTCTCTTGGCTGGTCCCGTGAGACCCCCTCTGGGTCCTTGGACCCAGCCATCCTGCATCATTCCTCTTGGCCCAGGGCCCTCAAGGAGAGGCAAGGGTATCAGGTAAGGCAGTGTGATCACAGGCGTGTTCAGAACTCCTGCACAATGTAGGCATCCCTGAGCAGATGCCCCTGTGCCTTGTCCTGAGAAACTGTTCCGTCTGCGCCCAGCCCCTTCCAGTGCGGTGGCTGAGTGCTCAAGCATGGGAGCAGTAGCTAAGTGCAAGGTCAGTGGTAATCACATCTTTCTTTTTTTACTGAGGTACACTTTACATACATTAAAAATGTACAAATCTTAAGCTAGAGCTCCATGAATTCATTCATATGCACATACCCATGTATCCCCACCTAGATCAAGATACACCTTAAAGGGGGCTCCTGAGCTCATGTCAATCTTCTGACCCTGAATTCACAGGCATATGTAACTTACATAGTCTTGTGTTTCCTCCCAGTGCTAGAAACTTGCTTTACATTTGTATATAATAAAAAGTAAAATCAGGAAATGCATTCTTTAATTTGATAAATATTGCCCCCTGTAATACAACCAAAAATAAGTTCCTAAGTGTGGTGTGGTTTTCTTATATCCTTCACCTCGATTCAGATTTTAGGTGTCATTTTGTGCTTGTGAATAAAGGCTGAAGTTCAAATGCTCAGTAGTGAGAAGTTTTAAGCACAGAAAAGTAGAAGGAAATTAACTTTACTGAGCACTTTCTGTTATGCCACACCCTATTTGAGGTCACACTTGCTGGGTCTGTTCTGTTCTAAATTAGAGAAGAAGTCCTAACCGGGGCCAGCCCGGACCTCCCAACTCCTTTATTTGTCTCCATTTTTTTCCCCACAGAATTCACCACCATTACTTATACAATATAATGTACTTACTTGTTAGGTTTATTGCTTACTGTCAGTCTCTCATGCTAGATATAAACTCTACAAGTGCAGGGATGTGATGAGCCCGTGTGCCTGGAGCAGGGCCTGGCACCCAGGAGGCACTCCCTCCATATTGTTGAACATCATGCCAGGGCTTTGTCAACCAAGTGGTTTCTTCCCCCCTTTCTTTCCTCTGCTCTCCCCTCTTAATTTAATTGAAATAAAACATACACAGAAACCAACTGTTTTAAAAGGCAATCAAAATTCTCTACATAGGAAAACTTGAGATTTTGTTTCCTGAGCATTGGTGGGAGAAATGAGGGTCCGGGAGGGTCACAGTCACAGGTGTCCCAATCTTCTGGTGGGTGTGCAAGCCTGAGAAGAGAGCCAGCATAAACACGAACTCTGTTGTAAACCTCAATTTTTGAGATATGGAGGAGGTGGAAGGTGGGAACAAGAATGAGGCCTGGAGTAAGCACCTTGACATCTCTGCTCTTTCTGAGAAGTCATTTAGAAAACAGATTTGTGGAGAAGACCCAGACTCCGAAGGCAGGGAGAACCTCATAAGGGAAGCCAAGGGAGAGAAGCTCCAGAGGAAGGAAGGACTGTGGAATGTAGTACGGGTCCTCCCACATTCTATCCTGCAAAGGGGGAGGGAGGGGTGGTAGGTCTCTTTTCCCCCCAGCAAACTTGGTAAAGTGCCCCCACCCTCCTAAACCTGTGTCTGGGGAATAAAGGTGCAGGTCAATTTAACAGCCCTCATGGAAAGTTTCTTTGATATTTTAGGAAGCTGTTAGTCATCTTTGTTCTGAGAGGCTGGGCGGGCCCATCCCCTGATGCCTGTAGGTCCCATTTGGGGTTCTTGTTCATTTCATTGTTCACAGCCTCTCCCCATCCCATTCAGAAGCCCTCTAGATCCTACAGTTTCTCCTGGAGGGTCCAGTCCTTGACAACTTGTTTTTAGCACTCTTTATGTTTCCCCATTAGGCTGGCAGAACCTACCACTGGGAAATTGGGGAAGGGGAGTTAAAACTCTGCCTGTGCCAATTTTTTGCCTGAAAGAGAATTTCACTCAACTTTTGCCAAGCTAATCTGGCTAGCAAGTAAATCTTAAAAGATTTAAGGATGAATCTGTGACTATCTGCTCTCTTCCAATCAGTATCAAGAAGACTGCTTCTCCGCCCTTTGTGGACTCCGTCCAAGACCAGACTCTCTCCCTTCTGGTTGGTCCCTTGCTCCTGTTTTATCTGTTTACCTGAACACCACCAGCACCCTTACTTACAGCTCACGTGCTGCTACCTCGCAGCCCTGTCACCATGGTGGACAAACAACCCGTGCCTATCCTTCCCAACTGTAATCCAACTGCAACTCAGTACTGCCCTTGATTTTCCATCAATTATTTTTTTTCAACGTTTTTTTATTTATTTTTGGGACAGAGAGAGACAGAGCATGAACGGGGGAGAGGCAGAGAGAGAGGGAGACACAGAATCGGAAACAGGCTCCAGGCTCCGAGCCATCAGCCCAGAGCCCGACGCGGGGCTCGAACTCACGGACCGTGAGATCGTGACCTGGCTGAAGTGGGACGCTTAACCGACTGCGCCACCCAGGCGCCCCCATCAATTATTTAAAAATGATTAAAAAGCCGTTTTTATTATCTTAAAGTATTTTAAGCTATTAGACTCAAAAGTAATTCATGCAATGATTTTATTTTTAAAAGTATTTTTAATGTTTATTCATTTTTGAGAGAGTGAGAGCGTGTGTGTGTGTGTGTGTGTGTGTGTGTGTGTGTGTGTGTGTTTGAGCAGGGGAGGGGCAGAGAGAGAAAGAGAGGGAGACACAGAATACTAAGCAGGCTGCAGGCTCTGAGCTGTCAGCACAGAGCCCAACTCGAGCTCAAGCTAAGGAATGTCGAGATCATAACCTGAGCAGAAGTCAGATGCTTACCTGACTGAGCCACCCAGGCGCCCGGATGCACGTGATTTTAAAAATGAAAGCATTCAAACGAATATACAGAATAAAGTCTTCCTCCCAGGCACAGACCTTCAGAGGTTGTCTCCAGAGGCAACCAGTGTGTCCTTTCAGGCACTTGTTATACCTTTCCATCTTTGTCACACATGTGGAACAAGCATGATTATGAAAGAGAACTTCAACTACCTCCGTCTGACCTCAGACTTTCAATTGATTTTCTTTTTTCCAGCTTATCTCTTAACTCAGGAAAAGGACCCTGCGGGCAAAGCATGCCCTGATGAGGACGAAACTGCCCCTCAAGCAATAAGGACCGCCCTGAGTCAGCAAGATGGGAGTGACTGACCCCAGGACAAGGATCGGTTTGACCTTTACTACCTACGTGCCTGTACCCACCCACCTTTGCCCCACATTTTCCTTCTATAAACCTTGAAAGTATTCTCAGCACTTTGGAGACAGTCTTTGAGCCACGAGCTGCTGTCTTCCCAGTGTCGGCCTCTCTGAAATAATTCCTCTCTTGCTTCACCACCACTTGTCTCTCTGCCTTTGGGTTTTGTCAGCAGTGGTGGTGGAACCTGGTCTGTGTGGGACCTCCAGAGGCAGGTGCTCTTGTACCCCTGGGCCCTGGCTACAATTACATGACCTGGTCCATCTCCAATTTCCCCATGATCCTGCTTTGTCTGGGATTGAGGGGTTTCCTGGGACACAGGACTTCCAGTGTTAAAGCTGGGGGAGTTCTAGGCAAACCAAGGGCAGCTGGCCACTGTCCCCCTTTGTAGCTATCTTGAGCTCACGGTCAGTCGGCTTTTGCCACACACTCGTTCCCCACCTCAAGTGGCATTTCAAATATGTGTGGATCCGCAAACCTGTCAGCAAATATTTACCAAGTAAACAGTGACAACATTTTCCAGCAGCTGGAGAGCAGGGAAAGAAAACATAATAATGAACAAAATAAACACTGTTTCTGTCCTCAGGAAGCTTAGGATTGAATGAGGGAGACCGATACACAAAAGAGTTATTTCAATATAAATTCAGTATAAAATTAAACACCTCCCCAAACTGCCTTCTCTAAAAATCCCAAATCAGCAACTTTTCTTTTGGGCATGATAATTTTACCTGAATCAATCTGGTGAAGACTGAATTTTTCCTAAAATGAACTTTTTTTCCAATGCAAAGGAAATGTAATGTTGTAGG